AAAGATTTATACACAAGCAGGTTTTCATGGGCGGCGGTAGTCACTTTCCTTCAGGCCGTCTGTTCGATAACTATCTGTCTGCCCTATCTATTAAAAAAGAAGCTTTCATAGTCCTGTGTGAAGTAACTATAGAGCGTTGCTAGAGATGCATAAAATCACAGCATCATCGTGAATAGTAAACTACTAATTAAGTAATTCGCGTTAGCTTTGCTATTCAGGGGGTTTCACATCCTTCATATCGAATAACTCAAAATTTCACCGTAGAATGGTCGCGTTTTGTGTGGTAAGACCTTTAAGACTGGTTAAGGCTTAATATTTTTGGAACAATAAAGTACTCATGAGCCTAAAGTCCGACATGGTATTTACTAATAAGAGAAGAAATCTTGTGATCGCAAAGTTAATTAAAATATAACGAAAATGTATTACGGCATTTTAATTAACATTTTACTCTATTAATGTACTGATGAAGAAAAATAACAAAATATTTTAAACGTTCTTTGTACTGTCTTCTCTTCACTTTCAACCTTTGCTGGAAGTAAACTCAACTAAACTCGTTAATATGTGTATTTTTGTGTATTTCATTATAATTCATTAATTTTATATAAAAAACGTGTGGTGACGGATTAAGAATACGGAATGTCATCACCCCTATTCATACCGTGGGTGTCGTAAGAGGCGACTATGGGAACAAACTACGCAGGACAACAGCACTGAAAAAAGAAGGAAAACTTGAAACAAACCATATACCAACCCGTCTGGCCAGCGTGATATAGTAGGCCAAACCCTCCTTTCTTAGGAGAGGCCCATGTTCAGCAGTGGAACTAGTAATGGCTGTTGATGAGGATTTACAAAACGCAAGCTTGATGAATTAATTAAATGTAGCACATATCATTACATCAAGTAAATAAAAAACTGAATTGTAAATTTCTGTGTACATAAACGTGGATATTATTATTTGTTATAATATCCACGTTTATGTAAATATATTTATTTATGTAAATATAATTAGTAAATTTATTTATGTAAATATATTGTATATTATACAAATAGGATGGGTTTTTTTTTAATTTTCCTAACAACTTTTTGATCTTTACTTGAAAATTGCCGTAATACCTTAATTATGGCAACATGTTTCGTCTTAAAATGATGTATGTGTCCCAAACTTCAATTTGTAGATTACGAGTATGTTATCCGAGACTGAATGCCGTGACATTTAAGCCGATGTCGATATTTTACTAACACTTCGGGTTTTAAAAATAACGGAAAAGAATGTTCTTAATGAGTTGAGGTTCTAGATTATTCTAGATATACTAGATTAAGACGGTGACAAATGAACACACCAATACCTACTTTTTAATCACTGTGTTTAATCTACCAAGGGTTTATAATTAAACTATTGTTTTGTTTATTTAACATCTACGCAGTCCACAGTATGTTTGGGGAAAACCCAATTAGTTTAGGCTCGACGGGCTCTTGAATAAGGGTTTAATTTAATTGATGAAAAGCTCTTGTCTAGTCTAAAAGTAATGAAAACTATACGTACATTTTAAGTTGCCGTACCTACCGTAAATGCTTAGAATCTGATGCTATACTATCAAGGTATAATACTAGAAAAGTTCCATTCCTTTATTTTCGTTTATAAACGTAGTCAATTAGTGATGACCTTGACTAGACGTAATCGAATCGATTTAAAAACAATTGGTTTAATTTAAGAGAAAGTTCTAATAGATTTGAACAAAATTAAAAAGTTACTTGTAGATGCAAATACTGAACTTTACTAGTAAATAGTATTACTCACATTCGATATATTATACATAAAAAATAGTTGTTAAACTGACACGTTCAAAGTCATCCATAGATACCTACGAGTATATCCAGCAGTGGATTGCGATAGGCTGATGATGATTATTATTTCTTGAACCATTTTTGTATTTCAGATTTTACTTTTGCAGTTAAACATCAAGTACTTATCACAGAATTTATTTTTTGTTTTAAATTTGTATAATTGAAATCCTGTATGTCTAATTTATATATTTTTTTTCTTTTCAGGTAAGTGTAGTAACTCTAAAATGAAGTGTTGTTTCAGCATCCTTTGTGATGTAAGTACTCTATGGTTTAGTGTTATCAATAAATAATGTTTGTTTTTGCTGATTTTAACGGGCTTTAGTTTTATAAAAGTGTTTGCTCTCAAATGTAAATATAACAAATTAATTCTGATGATAAATTCCTGCCATGAATGGTTGGTATACATCTTGGCTCATCTATGGCTTTATTTAGTAGTTTTCAAGAATTTTTCAAGTTTATTGGCACTTCTTTTTTTTGCTTAAATTTATAAATCTAAGTATGAAAAGCGTTTGAAAAAAATTCAATCATGTGTGAATAGAATGAATAATAATAATAACATCTATTTATTCCCTTTTTCTATGCTCCTTTACAAAAATGAATCAGGTAACTTTGTGAGAGACTGGTGCCTGAAGTAGTTTTAAAAAACCTATAATTCTCATTTTGTATTAATATATTCTACACTTATACACGAGGCTCGTGGCTAAGTATTGGACGAGTAGGTTAACACATTACAAAGTTAGGCAATCCTAGCCTGGTCAGTCTATGGATGGATGCTTCGGACAGCAAGATAAGCCGTCGCGCCGTTACGGGTTGTTGGACAGTCTTTCTACAGAACTTAAATATCACATAGTACTTGGGTTTTGGAGGTCTGATGCCAGTTGCTCCGCGTACAAAATTAAAGTTCCGCCGTATCGTAATAGACTTAACGTCGACCTTGACCTAGTTTGGCAAAAAAAGGCTCAGAGGAAGAGAATACTTATGTAGGTAGGTATATCTTTAAGTTTAATTAATAATATTAGTTAAATTTTAGAACACCGAGTGAATCATGAAGTTTATCAAATCTTAACACTAAAACAATACTCATTAAGGGCAGTCTTATTAATAAGCTTCCAAGATCAGGATTGCGAAGGTAAGCTCACGTAGGGATGGAGTACATTACCAGATTAAGCCTGAAGCTTGAAATGCTCTTCAGATCAGATCTGCGACATATCTAGACACGTAAACAGTTACAATGTTATTTGTTTACATGAAAAAGATATTGATAAGTGTTGTATACACATCTATATGAATAGTCTCCGCTGTCATCCTTACAAACCCCATAAACTTACTGTAAGGAGGACATTTCTATATATATCCATTACCTATCAGGACGAAAAAGATTAAAGTCTATGCCCTCAACATAAGATTGAACATTCAATGTAAAGTTGTGAACAACATTTTGGCTTAGCGTAAATTTCGTGCCTAAATTCATGTCCCTGAGGACTGTATGAGGTCTTCTAGTTCAATTTATATAAAACTTGCCTTTGGTGTATTTATCTCGTAAACCAAACTAATGTGGTACATTTTATCTACGGATATATATCTTATGTGTGAAAAATTCTTTTGCTTATCGAAAGCTTGCTTGAAAAAGAAGAATATTATACGGCTAAAGAAGAGTAGTTCATTTATTTGGTTGAATCGCTAATCTCCGGAACTACTGGTTCGAACTAAAAATTATTTTAGTGTTGGATAGCCCATTTATCGAGGAAGGCTATAGGCCATATACGTCACGCTACTTCCAATAGGAGCCTAGCATCAATGAAAATTGGTGCAATGACGGGGAAAATTTATTTCTAGACGAAGTTGAGCGGGACACCTACTATTATGTCTTATGTGAGGAGAATTGGAATGTGCAATTTGAAATTCTCTAATAAGAAAGTTTAAAATTTAAAATTTTATGTGATATAAATTTAAATACGTAAAAACGGTTCTTTGGAGCTTTTAGAAATCCAATGCATACTTTGACCTGTCACAGTACAAAAGTGTATACAATGACGGGTCAAGTTAAAACAAACATTCAAAACGATTGAAATTCGACTGCCAGTCGATTTCTAGTTGTTATTTAATAGAAGAACGAAGCGTGTTACAAGTAAACTTGGGCGCGTTGGAACTTTTTGTTCAAAAATGGCCATAACGCTGTTTCAATCACGAACGTCTAATATACCGTCAATTTGACTGTCGCGGTCTTTGAAGGTATGGCATTTTCACCGACCCTTCTCGTGTTAAAAAACTAATAAAAATACAATCAGTAATTTTAATTTTCATAATCATAAACGTAAGAATTATTTCAGAACGTATTTAGGGATGAAAGTAAATTTAGTTGCGTTCTAGTCGTAGTTAGGGGAAGAAGTATAAAAACATTATCTTTCTCTTCTCATCTGTCCTGGGTGGGAATCAAACCCACGACCTCTGGCCGGTCAGAGCCAGTTAATTTGAAATACCTAAATAAGTTTGACTAAAGATACAAATAATGAAAACTTTAACAAGGTAAATTTTATTAGTAATTATTTAGTTATCTTTCTTTATCTGAACACAAACCATTAAAATAATTTTGATAGTAAGCTGTCTTGTATAAAAGCCTATTAAAACAAAATATACAGACAATAAGGTTTTGTATGTACAATATTAAAAGTAAGTATATAGTACTTTGACACCGCTACCATTCCAACGTAGCTAAAAACTGTTTAAAAGTCTTATTAAATGACATTAAAAATTAAAATAATGTATATTTACATAAGTACTAGGTTCTAAAACAAATATATAGGTACAGTTGCAAAAAAAATACATTTATATGTTAAAATATTGCTTAGAAATGATAATACAGCGAAGTAAAAGTCAAGTCTAGTTTTTATTAAGTCACTCATTTACATAGTCTTTTATGAAGTATAATTGTTATCACACAATATTTGTCCTTGGTGGTACTCAAACCCACAACTTCTAGCAGTCAGGATTACTAAAACTGGTCAGTCAAACTTACAATGCTATTCTAGTTTACACTGATTAAAATTCATTAAGACAGTTTCATTTCTATTTTAATCGATTTACATACATTGCTTAATACGTATTGTATATTACAAACCGAAAGTGATCGAAAGTTTTAATGTAAACTTAACAAATTAAAATAAACGCATTACCATCTGACACATCATAATAAAAGTAATACTGCTCAATACTTTGCCAGAAGAGTTGAAGGCTCTCGGTGGTACGTAATATCTGGCCAGGATATCGTTCCAGAAAGTCATAGTAATATTGTGGGGATTAAATCTCAGTTCTTCGTCGTGGATCGCCACTGGGTTGCCTATTGCCGCCATGTCGATGCCTTCATAAATGTAGTAAGTTAGATCATCTCTGGTTATTGCTGGCCACGTAGGGGCTAAGGGATCTCCCAAAATATTTGGCACTCTGAAAAGTATACAGAAAAGAAAATTAGTCGAATCGGAGAATTAATATGTCGCCATAAGATACTTATAACAGCGATGTTATTGCATCTATCGGAATATAATTATGTACTATCGTACTATGGGAAAATTAACTAGTGATGATCCGTATCCATTACCTATGTCGGATCTTTAACAGATCTTATATGTTGAAATTGTATGTTAATTTTGCTAAAATTAATTATTGCAATGTATCAAATTGTAAGTTACTAATTTTGTGATTTGTTGTAAATTACTATTTGACTATATTTATAAAGATATCAAACCAAAAATCTTTGTGATATTATTATGCTAATGAAAATAAGGCACAGCACAAGTTGAAACGTGACATATTATTTAGTTTTAAACGTTAACTATGAGTCAAGATCACACGTATCTACTAAGGCAAACTTGAAATCCGTATTAGCGAATACATATATTACACATATAAACACATACATATATTATACATAGAAAACACCCAAATTCCGAAATAAATATTTGCTGATCATATAAGCATTTGGTCCGACCCGGGAATCGAACGCAGTTGCATACGCTACCACTGCACCACCGAGGCAGTGAATATACATATTTTTACAATAACATCACTAACAGTAATACGAAAGCGTTCCTATTTGCATAAATTGGCAAATGTTGGGAAATGGGCTCATTATCTTAAGATTTTACTAGAATTTAAAATACAATGACAGACAATAAAATACTCAATGCACTTTAAAATGCTACATGGAATAATTTAAACGAAATAGTTAAATTTAAACCTGGGAATCCAGCCTATCATGTGTTGAACGGCAATAATTTTATTATTGCTATAATAGTTTACCATTAATAGAAATTTGGGTGAAAGGGTTACAATAACCTGTCCATGTTCAACATGTTCATCATTTGATTATGTTTCCACTAAGAAAATACTTGTGCCAATTAGCGTAATATTAAATTAATAATACTGACTGCAATTGACATTAAACTCTCTAATTAAATTAGATTTGTAAATCGTTGCTAATTATCTGCAAAAACCTATAAAATTTCTTGATATATTCACGTCTTTAATTCCCGGAGTGGTAGAAAGAACCGTATTTAATGGACTACATTTTATCATAAATAATTCCAGTCCTATTTACGTTAAAAGGGCCAATAAAATGGAGTGGGCACATATATTTTGAAATAAACATACTTTTGATGATTTGAACAGCTAAACACACTGTTACTGAACATGAGTAATCATATTGTAAACTAAAGAAAATGGTCGTATGATCCCAAACTAGGTAGAACCTGTGCTATGGTAACCAGACTGTTGATAAATATACCCATATATTTCTGAATACTCATATCATAAAGATAATTACACCCAAACACAGAATAAATGATCGTGCTCATCACACAATATTTATCCTGCATGGGAATAGAACCCACGACCCCTGGTTCAGCAGCCAGGATTGCTAACCGCAAAACCTGACCTAACGTTATCAATACCTGATTCTCTGTATTATCTAGGTTAAGTAAAGTTAGCTTAAAGGTAGCTTAGGTAATATTATTATACAAAATGGGAATCGTAATTATACCTACCCGGTATATGCGAATCCTATAAAACGTCTCACGATTGATCTCATCACAGATTCATCGGCAGGCCTCAAATCGTAATCAAATAAGAAATTTAGGAGGCCTCCGTGTCTTACACCGCCTAAGGGAATTTGGGGGAAAAACCAATCAGATAGGCGCGTTCCCATGTATCCAAACTCCAAAAGTCTCACTTCTCCTGTAGATTGTAAGCTCCTTTCTCTAGCTCCTCTAATTACAGAAACGACGATAAGAGTGTCGCCTTGGTAATCCAAGAAATCTTCAATCGTTTCCATGCTGACTGGTTTAGTGTCAAAGTAAAAATCACGTATAGATGCTGCCACGACTGTTTGGTTATTACTGAGATTCAAGTCCACTGGTAAGAATTCTGTAAAGTTTGTCTGCATGGCATCCAACCATTCTCCAGAAGCTGCTTGACTTGCTCTCATGGTTCCTTCCCTAGTCGTATAACCAGAAATGTATGGTACCGGTAGGAAGTTGCCAGATTGTAATATGTTAATTGGAGCATCGATTAAAACCGTGTCGTTGGGGTTCAGTTCTAGGTTTTCAATACATGGAGCAAATAATGGAGTATTATTTTGAAAACTGAACTCTCGAAGTGCTGTTTGCAAGACATTTATATCTGTAGATACCAAATGTTTTGCCAAGTCCTCTCTAGATTTGCCACTATATCCAAGCCTTGATCCGAAAAGTTCAGCATAACCAACAGGATCATATGCTACAGCCCAAGGAGCTAAAGCAGAACCGCTCAGAGCAATGGCTTTATGAATTAGACCTTGAGTTTGAGAAGTCATGGTCAATAAGTCAACCATAGCCGCACCAGATGCATGACCCATCAGAACTACATTATTTGGGTTTCCTCCAAAGTTGGCAATATTTGCATGAATCCATCTTAATCCTTGTATGACGTCTTTCAAACCAGCGTTACCGGGAGCTTCTTGGACGCCTAAGCATAGAAATCCAAAGACAGAGAGTCGGAAGTTCATTGATACAAAGACAATATCTTGTTCCACAAATCTTCTAAACGAATATTGTTGATTTAACAAATTTGTATTGGTGTAATCGTCGGCATTGAGCCATACAATGACTGGCTTTGGAGTTGTAACGTTTCTGGTAAATATATTGAGGAACAGACAGTTTTCTACGCCTATGAGGCCTCGCTCTGTTGGTTGAGCACATATTACGGTGGTTTCCGTCGTGTTGAGTAGCGCCGGGTATGGTGCAGGAGGTGTGGGGCTCTGAAATATCATATAAAAATGTTGAATTACTTCACTTTAAAATCCAGTTGCTTGATGATAACGAACGCAAATATCTTGTTCATAACAACGATAAGATAAGGTTTTCCCTTTACACACTCTTTATCGTTTCCTTAATGTACAGGTATTTTTGTTTTGTATTTTACTTGGACGGCGTAAGGAAAACAGTTGTATACCTATACTTCAATCAGTATACTTTTAAATGTTATAAATTCACAAATTAACTTGTCCATAAGAAAATATCGTTAATAGAATTCTGATTACGAAGTCTATTTGAAGTTAATGGATCCCGGTCTTTACCTGTTAGTTGTATATTTGTTTGTAAAAAAATGCCCAGATAAAAATAGTTAGCTCTAAAATAAAATATCAACTTGTTTTTAGTTTCGAAAAATGAATTGAAGTTAAAATAGTAATAAACATTCTACTAACATCTATAGGTATAAACCTTTACATTTCTCAGTCGTTAAGTTTCAATTTGTCAATGTTAGTTAATTAATATATAACTATTTGAGATCACACGTCCTAAGTAAGGCATCATATGGCTTTTCCAGTAATTGTAGCAAAATAAAATGTGATTTGAAAATTGAAACTACATAGAAACATACAGCTTTTAACAATAATTTAAAGCAACTTAGACTGAACATTATAAAAAACGCTAGTGGAGTATTATACAAAACTGAACAGAGATATTTTCGCGAGTCTCCTAGATATAGAAGAGTTATTATAGTTTTTTAAATCTTTTATCGTACTAACGGGCAAGGTGCTGTGTAGCATTTGAATGTTTAAACCTAGCTTTCCTCGAACCCAAAGTGTAAGTCAATAGGCACTCAAATGCGAATGATCGTATTAGAACGAGATAGATAAAGAGAAAAAAAATATTGAAATCATAAGAAATATACAAGGTACAAGGACATCAAGGTTTGTCAATCACTTTAGAAGGGAGAAATGCTTGACGACAAATCTGTGCATACGCTTCATTTATAAAAAACAAAACATTTAATAAAATAATATAATATTCTCACACATTTCACACACGGCCGTCTGATCCCAAACTGGGCAGAGCCTGTACTATGGTAACCAGACTGCTGATAAACATACTTATGTATTCCTAATACATACACATTATAGATAAAAGTACACCCAGACACAGAAAATATGACCGTGCTCATCACACAATTATTTGTTCTGGGTGGGAATCGAACCAACGACCTCTGGCGTAGCAGTCAGAATCACTAATCACTACACTAACAGGCCAGTCAAAAGTAAATTGTAAAAAGAGGAGGCCGGTAAGGACTTCAAAAAAAATGTTATGTAGATGATAATAAAAATATTATATAAATCTATAAGTCTAATCACTCACTTAACTGTATGCACTACTAAGATAAGATACAGGTTTGCCTCACCCACTAAGGTATTTTATATGTACATATGTCGATAAGGCGGGTAAGAAATCTGTGTGTGTTAATAAATGTAAAGAATGTTTTAAAATAGGCGTATGCTTTCAAAGACCCTATCTTATACCTAGCTGACCAGCGCAACTTTGTCTGCGTCTATCAATAGGAATACATTTTCCCCTTTTTTGCAACATTTTTCATTTTTCACTTGCTCCCATTGGTTGTAAGGCTATCTAACAATAAAATATTTTTTCAATACGAACCAGTAGTTCCTGAAATTAGCGCGTTAAACAAACAAACTCTTCAGCTTTATGATATTAGTATAGACGGCCACTTCGAGTTACAGGTAAGACGTCCTGCCCTGTTCACACTATTGCATACTTATGATGACAAAGTACATTTTGCGCCATTAGTGCAATGTCGCAAAAGATACATTATTACCTATTTTAGTCTTTTGATAGTCTTACTAATTCTCATATTTAATTCCCTAAGTTAGGGAGGCAAGGCTCTGAAAAAACCTACGTTATAGAGATAAGAAGGGCTTCGATAAAACAACCGTCAATGGCAAGCGTGTATCTGGTCTGATGGGTCTGATGAATAGAAAAGAGACGTGAGCTGTATGATAGGATTGGGATCGTGGCAAATGGTGTTCTATCGTCTCTCCCGACCTTGAACGATAGAAAGACGTGAGCGTTTGTTTGTATGTAAGTTCCGAATAGGCTTGTTTTTAGTAGAACTAATTTGTAGTTCGAAAAGTACACAATTGAATGCGTACTACCTACAAATTGCCATGTTATGAAATAATGTGTAGTAACAAACTGTTTTTAACAATTGATAATTGTAGTTTAATCTTAGCACTTTTTACGCTAATTGTTTCTTTTAAATACTTCAGAGAAATAACAATACTTTGCTTTTTTAATTAATGAATGAGTGAATTCTTAAGTAGCAGGTAGCAAATTAATTGTAGTCGTCAAATTTCGTGAACGTATGAATTAATATGTACACGAAATTTCGTCGCTTCATTCGTTGGTGCTTCACACTCACACAGCGCGTGTTTTTTCATTCGCATCAACGCGAAGACTAAATTTAATTTTATAAATCGTCGTGCTAAAATATTAAATTAACTGCTAATGCTAATAAATAAAAGAAAAATTAACCGCCTGTTATCACGTTTAAGTACCTATTTCGCTCGGAACACTGACCGAGTGCGGCGCGATTGATGCTTTTTCTGGGAGTGCAAATGATTTTATTGTCTGTTTTAAAAGAAATGCACGTATTTAGGATTTTTTATTGCATAAACATATTTGAAACTGCCCAATCTTTTAAATCGGTTATAAATATTGAAATTAGTGTGTAGTTAATTCTACATCACAAATACTAGTCTAAAAGAGATTAACAATTGTGTCAAGCGGTTTTAATCGTTTGAGAAATGATTCGTATATGTAATCTTATACTCGTAAGATAGGTAATTACACATGGTTGGGTTATTACATAGCGTTGTTATTGGGTTTGTTGTTTCAAGTTTTCTTTCTCTTTGCAGTGTTGTTGTCATAGTTTGTTCCCTGAATCGGCTAGGATAGTCACGGAATGCAAAGCGGTGGTGACACTCCGTATTCTTAACCCATCACTACACGAATCCAAAAAATATTTTTAAAATCTAATTAATAGCGATGACATCTTACTTGTAAAAGTAATATTGAATGATTTCAAGAATAAGTATTACTCAATATTACAACATTTTGAAACTGTCAACTAGATGAGTCAGATTGATATAGACATGTCTCGTGAAAATTCGGAGTAAATAGTATTTAATAAGTTAATCTGATTTGGCAGAAATATTTGTCACCGCTAGTTGAAGAACCACGGTTATTGCCTGCCTGCAATAGCTGAACAAGGCGATGTCACATAGTGTTTTATGTGCGTATCATCACAACTGATGTTAGACACAAGCAGTACATGAGAATGAATGTGGTGGAGTCCAGTGACTCGAATCGTTGATAGCCAAAATATCTCCGACCGGCTCTATCCCTTGGCGTTACGTAGAGATGTAGCGTCACTCTGCATTCTCTATCGTATATATCATGGAGAGTGTATATATCATGGAGATTCGTTTCACACGGCAAAATTTTCGTCCCTACCACTCGGATAATTGGCGCTCCACCACTGTGCGCTTTTAAGACACTTTTTGCCTCGTACTACCAACCTGTGGAACAAGTTATCGTCTGCGATATTTCCGGACCGATACGACCTTCAAACCTTCAAGAAAAGAGCGTACTCCTTCCTCAAGGGTCGGCCGCTCGCTTGTGACTCTTCAGTTGCAGGCGTTCATGGGCCGCGGTGATCGCTATCCATTGGGTGGCCCGTCTGCTCGTTTCCCTCTTTCATAATAAAAGTAAAACCCTTTGCATTCATTTCTTACCTACCTTTCCTTTCGAAATGATTCTATTTTTTTCCTATAATCTCTGAAGGGCCCGTTTGACGTCAACAACGTTATGTTAAAGAAATTGCGAGCGAGAGCTAGTATTCTACAATTATAGTTCTAATCATAATATTGCATTCCAATTTGATTTACACTTATTTATTGTGTACCTTATCTATACCATAGCTGCTGCTACCATAACAGATCTACCTTTTTGATTTTATTAACATCAAGTAGTGACTTGATGTTACTAAAATCAATGATAAACACAGCAGTAACACATGTGCTCATACACAAATAAAAACATGATTATGTTAATTTTAAAAGGATCTATTTTGAGTATCTTTACAAAAACATGTGTGTGAGACGTGTGTGAGATATTTTGTAAAAGTTTAAACCATACTTATATTATAAATGTGAAAGTGAGTTGGTTTGTTTGTTTGTTACAATTTCACGCCTAAACCAGTAAACCGATTTTAAACATTCTTTCACTAATGGAAAGGCTACATTATCAGCGAGTAACATTTGCTACTTTTTACAGCTATAACCGAAAAGCTATTAAATAATTTTAACATTAATAAAATATGAGGATATTAAAAGGCCTATATCCAGCCCTGAAAGTTATATTTTCCGTGCTGTTAAAATGACATAAAATTAAAAGAAAGATTTCGTAGGGGAAACGATCAAGCGATAAATTTTAGGCCCAACATGTGATTGATTAGACTACTGTAAAATCTTCCATAATAGTCATATGCGAAATCGTAAAATTTAAAAAAAAGCTTCTTTTACATTATTGACTCAACCGGAAAAGAAGTAGATGAAGATTTAGAAAAAGAAAATTAAAATTAACTTAACGTGGACAAAATTAAAAAAAAATAGATTCACGACACTGAATGACATCACTAAGGGCTGTGACAAAAAGTTAATCGTAGTAAAACTAACTGTTTAAATTAATTATTTACACTTAGAACTTATCGTTACAAGTATGAAGAAGTATTTTTAAGATTAATATTAAGATCCCTTAACACTTACTTTAAACCGGTTTGCCCCGTCGGTAGGTCCAGCGTAGGGTATTGAATTAAACGTAAAATAATCTCCATCAACAGCTCTTCTTCCTTCCACAATACCTTCTGTTGTGTTCACTTGCAATCCATGCGCGTACGCACATAATAGTATAAACACACACACACGCGCAGATGAAGCCATGTTTTACTCTTTTTGTACGTTCGATTTTTAAATATGACGTATGCTCCACGTTTGGTTTAAAAATAGAACTTGCGTGCGTTCAGCACGGCTGGCTGTATGCGAATGATGCATATACATAGCATAGATTATAAAATATAAAGCGACTTGTTTTTATCTGCGGCGTTTAATATCAACTGTGTGTGAACTATCAATGAGGTCATCGTACAGATAACGTCGCACCTTGAGTGATTTTAAGTAAAGCATTTTAAAATTGAAATATATTACTTTATACCGATATTGGCCTAATATTTTAATGTATTGATTTCACGTGAGCTCATAATTATCGTTTTGCGATTGGCTCTTCTCTGTATGACGAGGCGCTTGACAAGACCAATCATGTTCTTGTTTGTTGTGTGTCGAATGTGTGAGATCCAGGGATGGCATAAAATCGCAATCACATATGATAAATCATATGGTTTATAAATACATATTTTCACACCTGTGACTAATATACAAAACCACTGCGACTTATTATTATCATCACGCTAGCGCAAGACTCGCGAAAGGTCTAAATTTAAATAAAAAAAAGCTCGTAATCTTTGATGAAAAAATCGATTGATTTTAATAGCTTTTATCTTTGTTTATGACGAAATCACAATCACATGTCAAATCGCTGTGACTAAATGTAATCATTTCACCAAATGAATATGATTTAAAAGTAGTAATAATTTCGATGTCTAGTGTGATCGATTTACTAACACACAAGCGGCGTAAGGGGTTTATGGACCCCGGGTCGGAACGAAGTTTCTTTCGCTTTTTGGTAGACGTCATTATAATTTATAGTATAAGTTATAACACATCATATACATATATATTATTGTTATAGTACGAGCCTGTTGGTCTAGTGGTTAGTGACCCTGACTGCTAAATCTGAGGTTGTGGTTTCGATTCCCACCCAGGACAAATATTTGTGTGATGAGCACAATCGTTTGTTCTGTGTAATTTATCTATAATATGTGTATATTTAGAAATATATAAGTGCAGCAGTTTGGTTACCATAGTACAAGCTCTGCCTAGTTTGGGATCAGACAGTCGTGTGTGAGATGTGTTAAAATAAGTTTAGTTTACTATTAGAGTTAAATAAAAATAAAAAATTATAAAATATATTTATTATGTATACAAAAAATAAACACTGAATGATCTAGGATAATTAAGTTAATAATAAATAAAAAAATTGAATGTTCATACATGACTATCACTATAGCAAGAAGTGTCGGAAAAAAGTGTCGTTACACATCTTTCGGTCTCGCTCCCATCCGCTCAGAGCGTGTAACGCGATAAAGAGAAAGAGACATTTCTAAAAATGGGGGAGATCGAATACTCTCAAACGGTGGTAACGCACTTGTGTCTCTTGAGTTGCAGGTGTTCATGGGCGGCGGTAGTCAATAACCATCAGGTAACCCGCCTGCTCGTTTGCCCCCTATACCATAAAATACAATAGAACCAATGCGGTGGGATGGAGTGGAGTGGAAGGGGGCGATATTGGTTTTTAGTAGAGAGAACAACCTTGCAAAAGCCCATTAGACAGATGTATGACTATAGGGCAGTAAGGCTGGCAAAATGCCACGGGCTCGAAGCCCGGGAACCCCTCAGAAGTATTATATAAGTACTTAAAAATCAGTGAAAGTTTATTTATTTATCTCTTTATTGTACACCACTGCAGTTTTATTTGTACAGATATTATATACATTTCGCTATAACAATAGGCGGTCTTATCACTCACGGCGATCTGTTACAGACAACCTTTACACAGTACAAGTTACTCATAACTAACCAAGAACTAAGACCATATACAAATTCTAATAGTGCTAAGATTTAAACGCATTCCTTTCAATGGGATCAATTTTATTTTTGTCGCAGTACTTTGTTTGCACAGGTAAGCTAATGACACTCGGGGAATTCCCGCATTTTGTTTACCGAATAAGTACTGTTTTCGACGCCCTCTGGCGGGCCCGCGACGCATGGTGCGAGGGGAATCCCAGATTTGTATTTTTAGTGACGGACCGGAGTGCTGTACACTTCATTTTGTGGCGACTTCCACATACAATGAAACAAAAGCATGTTTACTGCTAACGATGTCGTAATGAAAGTTTTGCACCTATTGGTATACAATTGCCCAACAGGGAGTTATAAAAGAAAAACAGTTCCGTCATTTTCTAACTAAGCATAGGGAATTTGGATTAGAATATAATATAATAGAAGAGGTGAGCTGAGAAGTGAAGTGCTTTTGTTAAAGAATGTCTAGTTAAAACAGCGTTAAATTTTTAAATAAATCATCAAAAATACGTGGTTATAATATAACTAACTATATTTTGATGACAAATTGTGTTAACACGCGAAGCCCTCCATTATTTCTGTACATGCACACACAGTGGCGTGTGTAAAGGAGGGTGGCATGCTGTGGCGTAAATGGAACAACTTTATTTTGTTTGAATTCGTGGTAATGAGACGGCAGTGGCATTTTAGGCTTGACAGGTCGATGTTGATAACCCCGTATAATATGTAAGACATTAAAAATGGTTTTAACACGCAAGAATTGCAATGAAATACGCCTCATTTTTTGTGATTCTTTGTTTAGCAAAAGTAAATGAATGTTCGTCCCAGTAATTAATAATAATAATGATAACCTGACACATCACACACACGGCTGTCTGATTCCAAACTAGGCAGAGCCTGTACTATGGTAACCAGACCGCTGATAAACATTACTTATACATTTCTAAATACATACATATTATAGATAAATTACACCCAGACACAGAACAAATAATCGTGCTCATTACACAAATATTTGTCCTGGGTGGGAATCGAACCCGTCGTGGGTTCGATTCCCACCCAGGACAAATATTTGTTTAGCTCCGGTTTAGCAGTCAGGGTCACTAACCACTAGACCAGCAGGCCCGTCGTTATAAACGTGGGAGAACCTTGCTACAGCACAAATGGGCCAGGCTCGAAAGGAGTGACACCACGGCCTCACAGAAAACCGGTGTTAAACAATTCGTCGAGTAAGGTACCGTAGTCCAAACCCTCTCTCCCCTCGATTCTAGGGGGTGGCACTCAAAAGGTTGTGACGCACTTGTGACTCTTAAGTTGCAGGTGTTCATGGACGGCGGTAGTTACTTACCACCGATGGGAATTAATGTAGACGGAACGAATCTGCCCTGAAACTCGAACCAACGCCTTTGAGCATGCAGAGGCAAATTTATCAGCCGCTTTGTCTAGTCTGAAACCCAATCCAGAAAAAACACAATCCTGCGCATTTTATCTGCGCAATATTACAATGGGCCACTTATTAACATGCCCCGCTAGCCTATATTCGTGTACGCTTGACGACTTGTGTCAAGCAAGGCCAAACGCCATTCGCGACGCCGAGCACTGGGCCAAAATCGTGTAAAGTGTTGCCATCGACACGATAACTATGTGAGTGAGTAAGTATTGCGTTTTTAAATCGAGCCAAATGTACGAACAATAAAATTATTTTCTAATATAACATACTAAAGAATTCAACTTTACAAGAATTTTCTATATGTAGGTATGCTGTGATTACAATGAGAACTAAAAAATCTAGTCATATCTCAATTATATGGAAAGTTCCAAAGTGTAATTGGAACGAAGTTCCTTATCGCGCGTTGTGAAAGGGGGCTAGACGGAAAAAAATCTTACGAAAATTGGTCACGACACTTTTTGCTATAGTAAGCTATTGTAAGCTGTGCGGCGTCGCATGTTTCTCTGTCTGTCTCTCTCTCTCTTATAGAAAGCAAGCCAGATATTTGCATTTCTATCTTTTTATGTCAGTCATTCAGCGCCATCTATCGAATAGATAGGAAATCATTTCTCAAGGAGATTTTACCAATGTATAAATTGTTTTAATTAGAATCCAACTGAAAAATATGTAGGCAATAGCCGCTTTCATAAATGGCGTTGTAATTAAAATGTGCCGAATGAGTTTTACTCGATCGTTACAACTTCGTTCCTATCGGGTGTCCCACGACACCACACGGCTTTTTATTATTTAACTTTTTATATCTTTTACTAGGAATATAACATACACGGTGTAATGGACGTCGTAACGAATACTGAAGTAAAGTATTCAGACCGTCATTCTGAGTCGAAAATCATTGGAATTTACTGCCGGAAAATTAAACTTTTTATGCAATCAGCTGTCAAAGGTTAAGGTCATTCCCCGTAGGTATCGCACTAAAGTAATAACTACATGTGTATTCCGTGCAAACACTAACGCACTCTACGCACACTAACACAAAAAGGCGCTGGAGTGGAGGCCCCGCGCGCTTCGGCTGTTTGATTAATTACATTGCAGTTTTTTGGTATTTATTAAATTGTTTTCGGTAAAATGTTCCGAAAACAATGTGTGTGATATCATTTTCATAATTTTTAACCAGAAAAATGGCAAATTAAAAATAAAATTGATGAATTTTCCGTAAGAAAATTCCAATGATTTTCGACTTAGAATCATGATCTGAATACACTATTTCATTGTTCGGTACGATGTCCCTTAGACCTTGTATATCTAGATTTCGCAGTGTATATCTTAATACTCATCAACGTCTAACTAACTAGAATGACCTATTCGCACTTTTAAGTAAAACCACATTAATTTAATTTAACTTTTAAGTTGAATAAAACAATAAGACAGTCCAATCCAAAATCAACTTTAAAGCCAAAATCTCCTAAAACCATTTTAAAATTCACTATTACTTATTAGTGGGTACTTATTCATGCGAAAATGTCGCATATGACTATGCAAGGTAAGGATGTTTATGCTTAGAAGCAGGTGATACAAGTATAGGTGTGCGGTATTTGTGGTTGAAGGAATTACGTTGTCGACCCAGTTGGCATAGTGCCCAAGTTTGCAAAGCAACTGGCCACTCATGCCAAATTGCCAGATGTCTTATACACAGTAAAGTTTGATGCTTACCCTAAAATGTACATTTTAAACATCA